AAGGTCCTGATTCTTCTTTGTCCATTTTACTGTAATCTTCATCCTAAATCATTCCCTCCATCCAGAGTTGCTCTGATGATCCAAATGGCACCTGCTAGTTTGCTTTAATCTCCTTACCCCTTCTTGTCCCCAGACAGAACATGAGATAATCTTTCTTTTACATCATACTTACCACACTTTTTTCTTTTTCAAAGACAAGTCTCCAAGAGTTCATAAATGCAGATAAATTACCTCTATAAGCACCTATAAGTAAGTGTTCCATCTATATATGCTAACTTTCATCGTCTTTTTGTCTTGCCCTATGCCCTGTGTATTCTTTTACACAAAAGCAATACCAAATGCAAAGAGGATGAAATATCATCAGAATGTATTTTATTTGTTCTTTACAGAAGTGAAAAGGTAGCAAGTAAAATTAGATCACTGAAGTCATCAAAGTAGCCTTTTTACAATCTGGATTGTAAATAAATTATTAATCCTCGATTATTTCTTCTTCTAAATTTTATTTTTGAAATGTGTTATGTATTTATACAGTCATTGCTGAGATGAGAATCATTTCCCAAAGTTACAGATTAAAGGAGTTCACAGCAGATGAAAAGAAGACTCAATATGTTTAGCAAAGCAAGTGGTCTGTTTAGAAAGGCTCATCTCTGATACTGTTGAAAGTCTAGTAAGTCAGTCTTTTATGTTGTTCAGCACAATGGGGCCTTGCAGTGCTCTGTGTTTCTCATTTTAGCTGCAGAAGGTATTCAACTATTTAATACAATTCAAAAAAGATATTACCTTTTCTTAAAGTGCATTAAAATATTGGCTTAAGTAAATTAGTTTTGTCATCACATTAATTTCAGTGATTTAAAAGCACCAATATTAATATATGCAAGACTGAAACTCAGTATTAGCTTAGTATGAATAGTAATTTAATGTGGATAATATTATTACCAAGATTTCCTTTGTTTGGCAAGCCCTGTAGTGAGAAACTAGAAATTGGTAAGCTGTAAATGCAGTTTCATCTTCACA